GTGTGTGTGTGTGTGTGTGTGTGTGTGTGTGTGTGTGTGTGTGTGTGAGAGAGAGCGCAAGACAGCTGCTGCAGTGTGGTCAGATCTGCATGTGTTAAACTTTCCATGTCCTCATGAACAGAAAGTGGGCTGCAACGGAGTGGTTGGCTCCTCAAAGCAGGAGGACAAGTGTGGAGTGTGTGGAGGAGACAACTCCAGCTGCAAAACCTTCAAAGACACCATCACACGTACTGCCAAGAAACAAGGTGAACACACACTCTAAGTGACAATGACCCTTATCTAAATGTAGGACAGACATGGCATCAGATGTCTGTTAGTACCGGATAAATAGTTGTCCAGTGTTCCTTTACTGTCTGCGCACCACGTTTAGTTATACTCAGCTAAACATCGCCCTCTAGAGGAAGATTAGTAGCAATGTCCAGTTATCACGTTTCCACATGAGTCGAGCACTGGCAAGTTATGTCAAACCCAACTCTATGGGCGAATGTTTATTAGTATATTATCTAATCTTTGGCGTCAGAGCAGACCTACATTACAGCACCAAAATTCACAAAATGTTTTATAAAGTTGCATGAAAACAGTCAAGACTGTAAGGATTTTAACTAGTGAGGATATTTGGTTGAAATGAGTAAGAGCTCTTTACGGGATTAGCTGAGGCTTTTCGTCGGGTAACTGTAAAATTGTTCTGCTGTCAGTGTTACAAACTAGGTGTCTGTTTCATTCCAGGTTTCCTCAAAGTTCTTGAAATCCCCAGAGGAGCGAGACACTTATTGATCCAAGAGCTGAAAGCAACCTCTCACACTTTAGGTATTTGACATTGTATATTGTTTTTCTTTCCTGCGTGTTTATTAGTAGTATTGTGTTGTATACTTGTGTGGTACTAGTGTAATCAATGAAAATTCTCACCCATCTACAGCTGTAAAGAACGTGGCATCAGGACTGTTCTTCTTGAACGGGGAAAACAATTACCCAGAATCCCACTCGGTGATAGAAAAGGGCGTGGAGTGGGAATATCAGAATGAGAACGACAAGGAGACACTTCAGACCACTGGTCCTCTCAGACATGGAATTCTGATCATGGTACACATTGAAATGAGTGAAAATAGTGAATAATCTGTTCATACACAAGCATATTTAACAATCCAAATGACACTATATATATATATATATATATATATATTTGTCTGAAATGGTGTCGGTTATCTAAAGTGTTCATTGGTTTTTGTCACTTTTTTCTCTTTGTAGATGAAATTGCATGGAGATGAGGATGTGAATTTGTCTTATAAGTACATGATGAACATGGACAGTGACTCTGCCATTCAGAACAACATGCTGGTGGAGGACAGTGCCTATGAGTGGGCTCCAAAGAGATGGTCCTACTGCTCCAAGGCCTGCGGCGGAGGTACAGTGGAGTAATGGAAATGCATGCTGTGAAACCGTTGTGTCTCTGAGATCAACTATGATGCCCGTCTTTATGCTTCTGGTGCTTACATTTGTTAAATGCTCCATTCCCTCTTGCTGTAGGGAAGCAGTACCTGCGATACGGATGCAGAAGAAAAGTTGACAGTAAGATGGTCCACAAGAGCTTCTGTAACAAATCCAACATGAAACCTAGAGGAGACACCAGAGACTGCAACCAGAAGCCCTGCCCCCCACCCATGTATGCATTGTATTATATGTCAGAAACTGTAAAGAAATAACAAAGCTGTGATAGAGACAGCTTTAGGCTGTTTCTACATTCAGCAGGCCTTCAGCAGGTCTTTCCTCCTCGCTCATTGTTTACTTCAGCATTTTGACGTGTTGAATGCCCTCAGAACTCCTGTTTCTCTCTCTCTGTCCCCGTGGTGTCCTCCAGCTGGGTGACAGAGGAGTGGCAGAACTGCAGCAAACCATGTGGAAAGACAGGGATGCAAATCCGCTCGGTCAGCTGTGTCCAGCCGTCAGATGACAACACCACGCGCTCCATCCACAATAAACACTGCAACGACGACCGGCCCGAGACTCGCAGACCCTGCAACCGACACCCCTGCCCGACCCAGTGGAGAGTCGGACCATGGTCGCAGGTATGCAGGCTGAACGTAGGGCAACAGGCCCGTTTTGGTTTTTGCAGGGAAAATACTGATATTTTTGTATTGAAGCCCAACAGCTGGTACTTTTGTGAGACTCAGTGGTTTAAATATCAGACTTCCCCAGAACTGTATTCTTGGCATTGTTGAAAAGTCTATGAGAAACCGATGATGTAATCTTCACAATTACTTCTTACTGTAAACCAAGGAAAATGATTACAAAAATCACAATGTCATAATATTCATGTACATTTTATGTCCATATATACCAGGTGATGTGTTATAAAGTGCTTGTTGGTGATGTCCTGTGTCTCCAGTGCTCAGTGTCATGTGGTAACGGGACCCAGCAGAGGCAGGCTCTGTGCCACACCAGGGACAACACCATCGGCCTGTGTCTGGACAGTAAGCCCGACACCATCAGAGTCTGTCGCCTGGATCCATGTCCCAGTGAGTGTCAAGGAACCTCCAGTCACTCAAATTATTTCATTTACACACAATTGTCTTAAGAATTTCACTTTATTAAAATGTTTGTTTTGTTCAACATTCCTATCTGCAATACTAAGATTGTGCAAAAAAAAAAAAAAAAAAGGACAGTAAACAGCTGGCGATGTTAAAAACAAGTTCTGTATGATGGGAACACAAGCAGTCAAACAATCATAGATTTTAAACCATTTTGTTCTGAACTAAACTTATTTGGAAGAGTTTTGTTTTTTCCTTAACTAATCTGACTAAAAAACACTTGTTTCTTGCCCTTTTTTGACAATATTCCCATGTTGCCAGATCTCAGCAATTATACTTGTAATAAACTGCAACTATTCTTGAATACGTAGACAAAAACAGGCCCAGATATCAGTGTGGAAAGGAGATGCTGGGAAAGGTGCACCACAATAACCATTTAAAGAGTTCCCTTCCCACCTTAACTACTGCATCACTCTCTCCCTTCTTTTCTCTGCAGAGGGCTCGTCAGACCTCAACAAGAACGGCAACATCCTGATCCAGTGGCTGTCTCGCCCCAACTCCATCTTACCGAAGATCTCCTCACGTAAAACCTCCCTCTATAGTTCCCAGCCTGGCCTCCACAGCGGCAGCCGCAGCTGCATGTTTGTCCTCTGCTGGGCCCTGCCCATCTCTGTCCTCCTGTCTCTGCAGGGCCGGCCCCGGCTGGCCCCCTGACCTTCCCCACGGCCCGTGCCTGTGCCCACGCCCGTGAGCGAGCGGCAAAGCTTTCACTTCTCTTTTGGGGGGGAGGGGGGATGTTGCCTCTCTCTCTCTGTGTCTGAGACGGCTCTGACTAGGGGGAGGTCTCTGGCTCCTGTGTGTGCTAGTTGGTTCTCTCTTGCTCTGTCTCTCTCTCTCTATCTCTCTCTCCTTTGTGGAGCATTGTGTTGTAACCGCTGGCCAGTCGAAAACTCAAAAGATCAACAAAAAATTTGATGTGAAAAGGATTCGAAGTGGCAAGGCGAACATGTTTTCACGGGCACCTCCTGAGACGTGTCGAGGAGCCGTTCATGTGTGAGGGGACCCACTCTGCATCTGGCGGCCATGTTTTGCGCGAGCTAGCTGCGTGTTGTCATGGGTTACCACTCCTGAGATGCAGCTGCGCTTTTTTCTTTTTTGTAGCGCACTGTCATTGTGGGGAGAAACAGGTGTGAAAATAAACAGAAAAGGTATATAAATATCTATATAGGAAAAAAAAGTTATTGAAAAAAAAATATGAAAGCTTTATTGTGAATGTGATCTTGTCACAATGAGGACATCTTTGCTAAAGTGCTCATCTGACATCCTGGTTCCATTCGAGGAGGAGAATGGCGTCTCATTCTATGCTCCATTCTCAGATTGACAGGAACTCGGGACAGGAAGTGACATAAGTAAACCTTCTGATTTTGGGGGGGAGGGAACTGTGAGGTGAAGGATCTTGAAGAAAGGCTAATTTTAAAAAAACAACACACACAAAAAATAAACAGGGTAGTCTGACCGCTTGAGGTTGCTTCCCATTTCACCTCATCATCAGCCATCCTCTCTTTGACTGTTATACTAAAGTTCAATAAATGCAGCTTATTTGTGCTTGCAGACTTTAAACAAATACATCTATAAATATATTTGTATTTATATATACCTATAAATCTAAATCTATATGAGTAACAATAATATTAATAACGTTTTACCATGAATAAGCTGTAGCTTATTTGCCTAAAACCTTTGGACTGCTATTGATCGCTTAGATCCTTGACTGTTATGTGTATTTTTTTATTGATTTTACATAAATACAGATGAATATTTAATAAAGGTAAAGTGTTTTGGGGGGGGGAAGGGGTTAGACCTATATTATGCAGGACTTGGTCAGTTAGTTGCCTCTCCATTCTCTCAGATGGATCAGTGGTTTACTGTCGCTTCTTGTTTTCTTTAGGATAGGATCCCGTTTTGTCATGCACATTCGCATCCATCACCTGTATGTATGTGTGTGAGTTGGTGCATCTGTGTGTGTGTGTGTGTGTGTGTGTGTGTGTGTGTGTGTGTGTGTGTTTGTGTGTGCGCTTCTGGGTGCATGTGTGTCTTGTGTTTAGATGAGTGAGTTAACAAATGTGTGATTAAATGAGATATGCTAGTCTTGTCAGTCAAAGTGTGTCTGTCTGATTGTGTTTGTGTGTGTGTGTATGTGTGTAAGGAAGCTTCATCATTCGGGCTTTTACACATTGCGATCCGATACAGAAATACCTCATAAACTTTGATTTGAGAGCGTCCGATGATCATTTTATGTTGATGAACATTAACCACATGAACAATGCCTTATCTTGGATTGAATGTAATGGCATTTATCTGTGAAAGAGATGGCTTTACTCATTCAAAGTTTCACTCGGAATAGAGGCAGCTTCAAACCAACTTAACAAACTCACACCCGCCAACCATCAAACCTACCAAGGTGATGTTGGACCAATGTCCGACTACTGGGAGGGTTTACAAAGGGCCTAGGGACACTTATGGCATCGAGAAAAAAAAAAAAAAAACACTTCAGACTTGTCATTGTATTGTGATCACTTATTTCTGTTGTGACTATGTAGCGAGCTATCCAAGGTTTCCTTCTGCTGGAGTTGGACTGTATGAGACCAAGCCAGACCTAGCAGTGCGACTGTATATAACATTGGTGTTGACTGTATTTAATAATGTTCATGACTGTTATCTTCTTCTATAATATTCTATACTATGGGTAACTGTTTTGTGGCTTCACTGGCCTGCTGCGTGGGGCTGGCTAACGTTTGGCTAACGTTGAAGAAACATTCAGATGGACTACGTGCACTGCGTCTATATGCACTTTGATTTATCAGGGAAATTTTATTAATGTTTTGTAAATGTTTCATATGACACTTAATGTGCCATTCCAGTTTTTACATCATCATGGAAATTATGGAATTCATTTAAAAAGCAAATATAATTTATGTACTTCATGTTTTTGTTTTTTTCAATCGTTAAACAGATTGACTGGTTGATTTCCAAGTAATGAAGTGTTTTACCAAAGTGACTGTGAACTTGTAACTTTCGATACAGTTGAATTATTTTTCTTAAGAAAAGAATATATCTATATATTGAGCAGGGGGGGGCGTACATCTCATTGTTTCAGTTACTGTCATTCTCAACAGCAAAGTTGTATCAATAAAAATGTTTTGAAAAGTGTGATCTTTCTCTCACCAGGAATGTTCACTGGCTAGATCCTTTGTCAGAGAAAATGTCAAACATTGCCAGTAGAACACAGTTATTTGTACTGGCATGGTACAAAAGGGGTACAAGTCACGTGGTAGAGGATTAAAATTGATGAGAAATTATCAAAATTAGAAAAATTCAGATATCAGAGTTATATTTGCAAAACAAGACTGGCGACCCTTGTTTTTCCATTTCAGTTGCTCTGGACTAATCTCATGACTGCTCTTGATGTTTGGGTTTTTCCTCCTCTTCCTTTCTGCATCATCTGCTAATGGTCTGGCTTTTCTACTGTACTCTGCATGGTGTGGAACCAACACACACACACTCACACGTATGCATGTACTTTATATATATATATATATACATATATATACAAACATACACACAAAGACTAATACTAATGTCACATACTATTTGTTGCACATTCTGTCACATACAAAGACGTATCAATCACGTACATAATACTCACCTCTTCATCGTCTCTACCGCCGGCTGCACCCGGTCTCAGCTCTCTATTCTCTTCTCCACAGGCCAGCGTTGTCATGGAGACCGCTCTGTGTTCTGTCGTATGGAGGCGCTGAAGCGCTACTGCTCTCTACCGGACTACCGGCGCATGTGCTGCAAGTCCTGCAACAATGTCACCATTACAGAACCTCCCACCAACTCCACATCCATCCTGCCCAGTGCTTCTCCACCCACCCTCAGCAGAGCTGTCATCACCACCATTTCAGCTTCTGACATCAATCCCTGGACCACCACTCATCCTCCTACCTCTACCACTGCTGTTACTCATTCCACCCCTTCCCAACTAAGTGCTACACAAATGATCACCACTCATCCTCCAGCAGCCAACAGTGCTCCTGTCCTCCCCACTACAAGGACCTCAGTTATTACAACTTCCCCTGGTGTTACTGGTCATCCCCTACCTCTGCCTGTCCCAGACACAGACGTGAACACAGACACACAATTACAGAGCACTACAAATAGTCCAGCAACATCTGTTATAACTGGCAAACAACTTCCAGCAACTTTGTCAACTATGACAAATCCAACAGAAAGCAGTACGAAAACAGACGCCCCACTAAAATCCAAGCCCAAAAAGATTCCGCCAAAGAAAACCCTCAAAAAGGTGATTCCACCAAAGGTTAATCTCAAAAAGAACACTGCATTAAAAAATACTACAAGAAAAGATGTTCCACTAAAGATCAATCCCAAAAAGAAAACAAGTGATATTTCAAAAAAGAATACCCCATGGAACAGCAAACCCCCAAAAAATAGACCAGAAAAAACAACTCCCAAAAAGACTACTCCCAAACAGACTACTTCCAAACAGACGACTCCACCAAACACTACTCCCAAACAGACGACTCCACCAAACACTACTCCCAAACAGACTACTCCACCAAACACTACTCCCAAACAGACGACTCCACCAAACACTACTCCCAAACAGACTACTCCACCTAACACTTCTCCCAAACAGACTACTCCAACAAACACTTCTCCCAAACAGACTACTCCAACAAACACTACGCCACCAACTACTACTGCCATAAAGACTACTCCTAAAAAGAAGACTCCCAAAAAGACTACTCCTAAAAAGACTCCCCCTATAAAGACAACTCTCAAAAAAAAGACTCCCAAAAAGACTACTCCTAAAAAGACTCCCCCTGTAAAGACAACTCTCAAAAAGACTCCTCCAGTGAAGAAGACTCTGGAGAAAATACATAAACCCACGCTTAAAAAGGAGGCTCCCCCAAAGGCCAATCCCAAAATGAACATTCAGCCAAAGACAAAAGTTACAAAGAAAAAACAAACAAAGACAAATCCTCAAAAGACCCCAAAACTAGGTCCAAAAAATGCCATGGTTAATCAGAATAAGACTAAGAGTAACCCAAAAAAGACAACACTTAAAACAATGCCTTCATATTATACCACAGCCCCCACTCCAAGTCTAGAACAACTGAGGGAGTACTTTTCTTCCACTATCTCATCCAGCACTACTGTAACAATAGCTGCAGGCGTACCTTTGCCCGAGTCCAGAATCAATGTTACTTACATCAATAACAAAACTGCAACCATAGATGAAACTCCACTGTGGTATCCTGATACTTCAACGATAACACCTAGCACTTCTGGGGACTTCATAACACAGACTGGAACCACTCATTTTGAAGAAGTCAACATGCCATATAGTGATGTCACAATGACCAGCAGCGGTGATGTCACAGTAACCAGCGGAACCATTCTCAGTGACGATGATGTCACAGTGTCCTACAGCAACGTGGGAGTGGTCAGTGACACCATGGTGCTGGACGATGGCCTCACTATGGTGATCCCAACTATCAATAGCGAAGATATGATGGACCTCGCTTCCTCACCCTGGCTGGACCTGTCTGAGTATATCCCTGTGACCTTCCCTGTTCCCACGAGCATCTCAGACCCTGCCACAACCTCACCTCCCACCACCATTGCCCTGACAACAGAAAAAACAGCCATCGCAACCATCACCAGACCAGTGGAGAATAGTGAGAACAACTCTATCGACATCATATACAACAGGATCATCGGCGTAGACAATGACATTTTCCAGAACAATCTAATCCCAAAGCGTCGAGTCAACTTCCGAGAGAGAACCAAGAACAAACGCATTCAGGAGCTTCTGGAGGAGAAGAGGAACTTTCTCCTCCGGATGAAGAGAGGCCATGCAGCATGATAGACCTCCTCATTTCTCTTATAGAGATGAACACTATATTTACAGAATTTTTAAACCCTCTGAACTGCCATGATGCTTTCTAGGCCTATCCGCACAAAAGAACTGTCATATCACTAACATGACAATCAGGACTGTTGCAGAGAGAGAATATTATGGCCACATGTTTGAACAGTTACTTTGAATAAAGAAAAGCCCTTTATAGTACAGATTGAAGCAGATTTAAAAGCTAATCGCCAAACGTGTCAATACAACAATGAGAAACAGAGGGGATGAAAAGGGTACATCCAGTTTGCTCGTTTGGCCAGCACTACACAAATCCAAGCTTTCGTCCCTCCAAACCACCCACAGTCGCAGACTCGTCAATGATAAGTGTGATGTTTGTAGAATGGTATTATCCCGACCGGCACTTATGGAGCACCATAATCTACCACCTGGAAATCTCCATCTCCATATGAAATTACAGCCCATGACTGCAGCCACTTTCCCCACAAACAGATACATCTCATTCCCTCTTGGTAAATCCAATTCTCCTTTTGGGTTAATTGAATTGTGAAAAGTTTACACTGCTTGGATTGTGTTGCCTTTTTCAAAGCAAATGCCAGTCTGACTACATGGGGTCTCTCATCTCTCAGGAAGTTAAGATGCAGCATGTTGAGAGACATAGCCAGACACTTGGTGCGCCCGGAATTTTGATGATATATTTTGATATCTCATTAAGCTAGGTGGAAAAACAAAATAAGTGAGGAGAAAAAACTATATTGATTTCATTTTTCTTTTTCTTTTTTTACGGTCAGTTAAGTACGATGCTTTTTATGTCAGTGTTGCTAAAAGTGGTGTCCCTTGTGCATTTATTTATGTAAAAAAAATGTCTAATAAAATAAACAAGCCTGTTTGTATTGACTGTATCAAAATAGAAGCTTTGGGGCCAGTTTGTTTTCTTTTGTAAAAGTTTTATTATTGGTACATCTCAGCCTTGCAGCAGCTGCAAAAGCATCCATGGATCTTTCTGTACGATATCTGTACATATGAAAAAGAACTTAATGTTTAATATTTATTAAAGTTTAAGTGCCTGTGGTATTTTGCAAACTGTCAGTGTTGTGTGCTTTTTGTTCCAGTAACAGTTATCATGCTTCTTTATCTTTTTGGCTGCAGCCAGTAGTTGTTATGTCACAATCCTGATAAACAAAACATGAGCCAACCACTGTGAGCCTCACTGCTGCACCAGTTTTGGGTTAACTGAGTGATATGACACAGCACAGGGTCAGGTTAAGCAACAATCTCCTGGAAGCATGCTTATAAATGTTTATTCAATTGACATTTTACTCCCATTTGCACTTTGTTCATGTTTGTGCTCAAAAACTTTGTATTGCCTTTTTTATCAAAGTCAGAATATCAGGTTCAGTAGCATGGCTTTAAATTCCTGACTTAGGTAGAGTTGTTTTCACCGTGGGATTGAAAATGTGGCCTGGGAAATTACCTTTTGTCTACATTTGCTTACAGTGTCCTTTTTCTTCACTTTGAGCTCTAAAGGATTCCCTCATCTCTGTGGTATTTGGGTGGCAGATAGATATATAAATAGAAACCTTTGCAAATTAAATCCAAATTGCATATCTAGATATCTTTAGGGTAGGAGGGACAATGTGTTTTTTTCTGATTTTGGTGAACTTACCCTTGAGCATGAGATGATCCCAAGAACAGCCATGTTTTTATGAGTAGAAATTAACATTTAATGTGATTACAAGCTGTCCAGGAAATATGCCATTACATTGCACTCACTCTCTTGCTCTGAGATTTGACTGAACATCTACCTTTTCATCTGGTTTTACTCTCAGATTGATTTTGTGTCACTCCATTCAAACTCTGGCTTATTGACAGTAAAAAGATAAATAAAAATGCTGTAGCAGTCTTTGGCTATGTCACATATTACAGAAGCGTAATGCATTCATTGAAGAATAATATTTGCCCAGGTGTTCTGAAGGCTTCCTGAATGTGAGCAGATTGCTTTTTCCATGGAAACTGTTCTTAGAATATCCAAGATTATTATCACGTTATTTAATTAATTAAAACATGGCAATTATTTTTGTTCATGCTTCCGTAACATCCAACACTTTGAGAAAGGAGATTTTTTTATTTCCTGTTTACATCTTTCATAAGCCAATCAGTTCTTTTAGCCATTTTCCAAAGCTGACTTCATCTGGCCTCTGTAAAGTGGCTACACCACTCTTGTTACACACTTTAATCCTACCGACTGGGGTCGCCACAGATACTTTTTTCATATCTCATAGGCCCATTATTCCATCAGCCCAATTTTGTATGATTTTGTCAATCAATTTGTTTACATTAACTTCATAATGTTGTTTTCTGTTTCTAATTAGTGTTTTTCAAGAATATCAATTTATTGGGATCCAGGTATCCCTGTCAAAAGCACCAAATTCCACCTATTCAGTTTTATTAGATGGAACTATTTATTGGGTTCATGTTTGCCATGGGTACTAATTTAAAGTACCACCCACTATCGGGGTAGGGCAACTCTAGGGGACAGTCATTTTTAAGGAGACAGATGCTGCAGACACGGTTTTCTAAGATGACCTGTTTTTCAGATGGCATTAATAACATAACTAATAAGGTTTTGAGAAGGAATAAGTCAACATTTTTGATATGATGGTTGTTTCTTAGCTTATTCCATGGGTCCCCAGTCGGGAGTCCTTTCATGTTAAATAAGTAATTGGTTAATTGGTATGAGAGTTAAAGGTTCCACTGTGCAGCAAATATGGACTGCATGGATGCAATAATGCTAACCTTCAGTTATTGTATACCCTGAGAGAACAAAAAAGCACAAATACTCACAAATAATACCGGAAGATCAATTACTAATATCTAACATTTGTATCCTCACAAGTTCAGTTGATACATTTCTGTGGTTTGAGGGAAACTTGAGTCCAAAATAGAGAGAAGTATTTGTGAACAGTTGGGGATAATAATCAATATTTGTTTGTTTTCTTTAGACATTGGTGCAACTGCCGTCTTCTTTGAGAGAAAACTAACAAGTTCACGATCGCTCTCCTGACTTGTTTCGGAAAGCTCACCCCTTGCGGTTGGTTCTCATTATGAAGGTACAAGGGGTCGATAAAACAGTAACCGTAAAACCTTTCAGTCTAATGGAATCCAACAGCCCACCATGGTGAAGATTATGTTTGTGGTCATGATCATTTTTCTTGAGACCGTTTCTGACCAGTGCTGATCCAATTGTGTAGATTTTTAGGCAGACGTTTTCAGTTTTGGTCCAATGGATGGATCAAAGCTCAAAAACAAGTCTTGACCAAATTTTAATGATACAAAATGAACTGTAAGTTTCATAAATCAAGATGTATTGCAATGTGATTCCATTTACTGTAACTGCATTATACTTTAATGTGATTTTGGTAATTTGCAAACCCCCTGTGATTAAAATGTTTCCCAAAAGATATTTCAAAAAACAACTTGTTCTCGGAAGGGGAGGTGATCTCTCTGAGGAAACGCCCCTCGTTGACTCTATGACCATATATTAGGGTCCCTCTGGGTGCTGGAAACTCAGAGATAACAATCACCAGGCTCAACAACCAGAGCCTTTCTATGTATCCATCATTCAACTGAAATTGTCCAACTCTCTCTGTACACGCTGAAGCTAGACAAAGAAGAAGAATTTTATAATTACTGAAAAGTCATCATGTGGCGTTGGTGACTACAATGACACGTTTATGGTTGAGGAAAAATGGTTGAATTAAGTTTATTGTATGTTTCCACAAGTAAACCCACTGACCACAATTTGAATGCAGCCCAAGAATATGACATTTATAGTACACACACCATAAACAGATCTGTGTCAATATAGACTCTGGTTGGTGTTCAGCTGAGAGCCATGAAAAAACACCCAACCCATTTGTAATCTCTTTAAAATGCCTGCTGATAAAACAATTATTTCCTTGTAAACACACACACACACACACAGCAACAAATACAAATACCATCATTACTGGAGTTCAATCTTGTTTTTGTTGTTTCTTTCACAAACTTAAATCCGTCCATTTTACTTAAATTTGAAACCTTGATGTCGTGTCTCGTGTTTGTCATTAGCAGAATGCACATTGATAAATGCAGTTAGTGTTCTGTCTGAGAGTCTGTCAAAGTACAACTGATCAACATGACTGTTTGTGTGTGTGTGTGTGTGTGTGTGTGTGTGTGTGTGTGTGTGTGTGT